AGTGAACGCCGCTGCTGCCGCCACCGCTACCACCCCTGGACTCTTCCCTTCTTGCCTCACACCGCGGGTTCCGTAGATTTCAAGCCGATTCCTTTATACGCGTTGAATCGCGCGGCCATCGCGACGCTCTTTCTCTCTCGCACTCTTGGTGCGCATATATCTTCGTGCTCGTTATTCGGGAGTTAAGGAGGATGGAAAGAGAGGAGGAGAGCAGTTGGATAGGTGGGAGGGTGAGCTGCCCCCGAAAACAGTGGGTGATCCGATTGGTGATTCCACGGCGGGCGCAAAAGAACGGAGTTGATCGGTCGAATGACATGAACGCGAGGATGACGTAACTTCACGTCGCTATTAACGACGTTAATACGTTTCGTCAGGCCTGAATCGACGGTGAGTTACACACGGCCGTCGACAGATCGAAGGCAGAAACCGAACGATACAGACTGTCGTCGAATCATCACCACCAAGTCTAAGCTGAACTCATCATAGAGATATTCTGTGGAAACTTTTGATTATACACACGGTCTAGAGTCGCCGGTAACTTTTGATGAAAGTAACAGGGCATATTCGTAACTAAAGCTCATCTGTGATAAAGCAACTGTAACACGTTACCATCATCGCCTCTTGGCCTGACATGTTTTACTTATTCTCTTTTCGTCAATTGGCGCATGGAAAAAAAGAATTAGCTGTTCATATGACTGACTGATTCAGTTACCGGATTTCATTTTGTGCGAACTGAAAACTTGGTACGTAGACAAAAATAATTAGCTAAATTTATTAAATTTAAATCCGTTGCGTTATATAGATACCTAATTTTTACCTGTGAGAGCTACTTCTTTTTTCCATGCAATATTTCTTCAAAATCTCTCTTTTAAGGATCTTTTAATAAATACATCTAAAATAATCTTAAAATAACCTAAAATACATGTAAAGTACATAAGATAAATATATAAAATCTGGATAACGGTGTCATGATAAGTTTAAAAGATCCATCTCTCTCGAAAACAATCAAACTTATATTCGATCGAATTGTTTCATGCTCGTATTAACAATCAAATGAATACTCTCTAAATAACCATGAACGACATTCGATGCGAGAACATCGTTCTCTCTCTCATATCCAATTAATTAAGTCGCGCACGGCGACGTTGCGCGTTGATTTCCCGCCGCGTGGACTTCCGGTCGCCTCTATGGGGCGTCAAGAAAACGGTCATCAGATAACGAGGTGTTGCACGCCGGAATTTATCGCGGCCGTTACCTCGTTTTGTTCGCACCCCTCGTGCATCGGGATCACCCCCGTTCTCTCTTCTCCTCTCTCAAATCCGTCATCCCGTCGAATGCGTCACCTCAATCGTCTTGGCGATGCGATCGCGACGACGATAAAAGCATTCGCCGTTATACGATCGGGGCCCGAGGCTCGCTGCGTACGCGAATGCAGCTCGAAAGCTCATCCCTACCCTTGAAAAGCTCGAGGGCGCATGCACCAGCAACCCCCGGCGATATCGGTTGGACGCACACAAACGAGAGCGAAAGCTCACGCACGCTCGTGAATCGTCGCGCGCACCGCTGCGCTGGTTTCGCGAACGGTGACACCTGGCGGCTCGTGGTGAGAGAACGGGCTTGCGGCTAAAGCTTCGAAAAAGCCCGCCAGTTAAACTCGCCAGGCAGAGACAGATAAATGCGAATCGATCGGCGGAGGAAGGTTTCATTTACAATAGCATTTGCAGTATCTGAGAGAATTTAATTCTTTTCTCTCTTTCCTCTCGGTTAACTCCGTTCGAAGCGACGATTTAAGCATAATCGCGTATTTTATCATTTTACTGCAGTTATCCCGTTACAAAACGAATTGAGAATATATTAATTGTAGGAAAAGGTTTGGAGTCTCCCGGCAACTTTCGTTGTCCGCAGCGATTTATCTTTTTCTACTTTCGCAATTTTTTTCACTTTGACTTTCAATACTGCTCGAGCACGATATTATACGTGTTTCAGTATTTTACTCTCTCCCCTCCCCCCTCTAATTACACTGTTAAAATGAAATATATTAATTATGGAAAGAACACTCTTCTCTCGACGACTCTCATTGTCCGCACGTCTTTTTCTACTCCCACGGTTTCTCTACTTCAACTTTTGATAATTGACCAGCATGATATTTTCATGACTGTAAACGTGCCACATATTAATTATAGTATTTAATGATAGAATATAATTACTGGTGTATAAAACTTAAAAATAACAGGCGTAAATTTTATTTCACGTTTGTGCAAAAGTATTGATTGCAACAGATACTGTTACATTTTCTCGTTGAACTAACTCTCGCAACGAATGGTTAGTTGAATCAAGTGTTAGTAGCTTGAAATATTGCTCGACTTTCTCGCGAATGTTTCCGAAGAATTTCGTTATCAACGTAAACATTATTGGATACTGAGAGTAGCTTTCTCTCTTCAGTTATACGATCGCTCTCGAAATATTTAGACGACCGTGTGAGTACACGTCATTCATCCGCTCGTTCGAATAACACACAAAAACTATAATCTCAGAGGACTATCTGCCAGGTAAATCCTACCTAGACGATCACGAATGTAATTCGAGTCAGTCATTAACTTTGCTCGCGTTTCTCAGCATTAATATTCTTTAGCATTATATCAATCGTGAATTAATTAAGAAATATTTCTCGGTATTATCGATATTAATGTAATGAATCTCCGCGTTACACAATTAAAACCTCAAGTGACATTTGCATAATTGCGTTATCTTGTACAATCAACTGCAATCAATACATTCGATTCATTCAAGCATAAAAAATTAAGCAAATTCATCCTATCCGCCGTACCGAAATACATAATAGAATTACTCGAGTCGCCTCTTGCGGGAAGATTACCCCAGGGTATCGCTTTAAGAAAGCTCGGCCCTGGTGTACATCGGATGGGGGTTAATACGTAAGTGCGACTGAGAGAGATTCGCTCCGAAGTGCGAGTGAGCGCAAGCTCATCTAATAGAAAAGGAGAGAGAGAGAGACGGCAGTCTACGTAGTGGCGAGAGGGGATTCATGTTGAACGAAGAGCGAAGTCATCGTGCGACCAGAAGAGAAAAGGAAGAGGGGGAGGGATGAAAATTGTTGGATGGAGAGGAACGGCAATTCCTGGAAAGAGAAGCTCGCTCTGTCCGACGAGGACAAGATGTGTCATGCCGTTGGTGAGAGAGAAGCAAGGGGACCACTTCAGTGCAACGGAAGGAGACAGTTCGCGAATAATCGGTAGTTCCAAGCGAGACAGAGACATCCGGAAGGGGGATGAAGCGTTCGCCGAGGAAGACGGAGAGCGAAATCAGAGTGACAAAGATGAGCGAATAGGCGAAGGGTGGGTGATTCGCGCCGACGGAGGTGGTGGTGGAACGCGAAGCGACGGTGAGGGTGGCGCGGGGACGGCGAGAGAGAGTGTGCGAGAGCGGTCGAGTGGTGGTGGAAGAGCGAGGGAGCGTAGTCGAGCGACCGTCCCGCTGTGGCCACGAGCTCCGACGCTCGGGGAACGTAGGTAGTGTGTGAACTTCCGGCCGAGTGAAGCGGACAGGGGTATAGGGGTATAGGGAAGGTGCCGAACAAGTCAAGTAGAAGACGAAGAAGTGTGGAGCAGAAAGCGGGAGGAGGTGTTGGTGCGAGAAGAGAAAGAAGAAGAAGAATCACAGTGAACGCGAGGTGGCGGAACACGGAATAGGAGGAAGAGAGAGAGAGAGAGAGAGAGAGAGTAATAGTTAGTGGTGCGTTGGTACGGAGCCGATTTACTCGCGTTGAGGTGTCGGGTCTCGTCGGGCCCTCGGTACCGAGAGTGCTCGCGGAATTACGCGGAGGGTGACTCTCCCTCGCCCGCGGGGGTGTACCGCGCCGCGGCAAGAGGAAACGCGCTCTCTCGTGCGAGCTCTCGCGAGAGAAAGGAAGCGTCGGGCTCGTTAGCGCTCAATCAATCTCGCGAACTTCCTCTCGATCTCGCGCTGTTTCATTCCCTCATCCTTTTTCTCTCTGTCTTTCTCTCCCTCTCTCTCTCTCCCTATCTGTCTCTCCCTCTCTCTCTCTCTCTCTCTCTTTCTCTTTCTATCTCTTTCTTTCTCTCCGTTTCTCATCGCGTTGGTGCCGTCGGGACGGTGACGGCCGCCGGAGTGTTTGTTATGCGACGGTGGTACAGTGGCGGTTGACGACGACGACGACGAAGAGGAGGAAGAAGAAGACGAGGAGGAGCGCCCGTCGCCGAGGAGGACGTGGACGAGGAGGCGGCGGAGGAGGAGGAGAAGGAGAAGGAGGAGAAGGAGGAGGAGGACGACGACGACGACGACGAGGACGCGGCACAGGAGACGAAGCAGCTAGCCGTTCCTCGTCGCGAGAGGAACCGAGAGTGTGCTCTGGTGCGTCGCAGGGAGGGAAGAGGAGGGGAGGGAGGCTCGAAAGGGAGGAAAGACGACGTCGACGACGAGGAAAAAGCAGAGGAAGAAGAGAGGCGGCGGAGGAGGAGGAAGACGAGGAAGAAGAAAAGGAAGGTAGTGGCTGCCGGTGGTGGTGCTCGCCGAGGAAACCGAGAGAGTTCAGGGCTCGGGAGAGAGGATCCCCCCTCTCTTCTCTCTCTCTTTCTTTCTCTCGCTCTCTCTCTCTCTCTCTCTCTCTCTCTCTCTCTCTCTCTCCTTCGACGTCGATAANTCTCTCTCTCTCTCTCTCTCTCTCTCTCTCTCTCTCTCTCTCTCTCTCTGCCTGTCCTTTCTCTTTCCCACTCACTCGCTCACTTTTCTCTCTCTCTCTCTCTCTTTCTCTCTCTCTCCCCCATTCTTCTAATCCTCTGTGCTCCTCTCTCGGAGGTGTTGATTGTCGTGAAACGTGAAAATCATTCCGGGCGAAGGAAGGAGCGTGAAAAGGAAAAAAAAGGAGAGCGAAAGGTGCTGCGTTGGTGTTATTTTCCCCTCCCCGTTTCTGCCCCCCCCCGCCCGCCTGCCCGTCCGCCCGTACCTCCCGCCGGTTTCGAAGAAGGGGGTTCATAGTGCACGTCGATCGCCGGGGTGCCGTCGAGAGTGTGCAGTGTGCAGTTCTCTTCGTCTGTATCTGTTTTTTTTTTTTCATTTCTGTAAAGTGGTGCCTCAGCACGAAGAGGGGATCGCCACCGGGGCAGAGGCTCGAACGCATGTAGGAACATGGCCGCATCCAGCCCCTGCCTCCCTCTAGAGGTGAGTCCAGCGAAACGGCAGCAGGTTCTCCGTCCTGCTAAACTCTCCGTTCCCTCGCCGTTTTGCTTTTTGTCCCGCGGACCCGTTTCGCGACCCCGATTGTGCCGCAACCCGGTTCTGGACGTTTCAGCNGCAACCCGGTTCTGGACGTTTCAGCCGCGCATCCCCGGCGAATTCGTTCGCGACAACGTCAACGAGCTCATCCACCCCGCTGGCTGGGGTCTCTCGGCCATCGCGGTGGCCACGTTTGGGTTAGAAGCTGACCTTTAAGCTGACTTCACACGGTTAGCACGGCTCGCGCGTCCGAACGAACCTCAATTTTATGCCGGTTTCGCGCCGACCGCTGGAAACACCGCGGTTGTCTTTACCCTGCTGGCGAGCTAAACGTCAGCAATGTCGCGACAGCGTTGGAAAGCTCGTGCCTTTCCCCTCGCATCCTACGCGTTCTACCCTCATGGCATGAGGATGCGATTACGATCGCGCGTGACGTAGCTTTCCAGCAAGACAACGCGATGCCTGACGCAAGAATTCGCGATGCGATGCAATGAGGAGTGCGTGAAACCGGCTTTAGCCATCCATTAACCCACGCGTGCTCTTTGGCGCGGCTGGCTTTCTTAACGATTGGATACACGCACCACGGGGGCGACACAGTGCTCGCAGGACCTCTCTCGTCCTCGTTTCGAGGCACTTCGTCCTACCGATGATGAACGCGAATCCGATGCAACGTGAAACCGCCACGTCGCGGTGACGTGGATCCCGCTTAGCCACTTCCTGCCGGCTCTCTTTAAGTGACAAGCCTCGTATTGAAATACGATGAAATAGTCTCTTTTCAAGTCTCGCCGGGAATACATATTCGATGAAATTTAAGATCGAGTAAAGCTTAATATATATAATAAAAAATTTTGTTTTAAGTCTAACACGCTTCACATGAAACGGCCCGCACAAATTTCTGCGTTAATATTGAATAAGTTGGAAAGTAATACGATTATATTAAAAATTAATACAAAATTAACATCCCCATAATATGTTAATCGACACTGAAATGTGTTATTTAACATTCGCATATGTTATTTTGACATTTACACGTTGAGTTAACCCAACACAAAATATTGAGATAACCTAAACACAATATGTTAAATTGACAAATAGATATGTTAAAAATTCAAACGAAAAATTTTAACACAAGTACATTTTTTTACTGTGTGGGAAAAAAAGGTTTTATAAAATTTGACACGTGACACGGTAGATATACATGATGTTTCTTTTAAAACATGCTGTATGATGAACATACTCTCCCAGAACTTTTGAAAGAAAGCTTTTTAGAGCATTATTAGGCAAAACGAACTTCGAAAACAATCTGGCTTCGTTTATTTCCTCCTCGTTATCAGGCTTTTAGTGTATCAACTGTCGGGCTTTCCTCTCTTCGCCAATGAAACAGAACAGAGCAGTTAAACGTTACAGAACGTTTCTCTGGAGAATTCATAAAAGGTATGAAAGGGTCCTTTTGGTGCGGCGTTTCTCGCCGTTCCGTCACGTTGTTCGCGGATTTCTTCCGTTTTCTTCGTTTTCCGCGGTCGTTTGGATTTGAGATTAACGTGCAGATCGGAAAAGAGATCGCCATGCCTCATCTCCACGCTTTTCAGGCAATTAAGTTTGATTGAATTCTCAGAGCTGAAAGACGGTTCAGATTTATTTTTCGATAACGCGCATTCTCCATAATATAACAAAAAATTCGCCCAAATATTCACGAGGCCGGAAGGTTGAAACAAGGGGCAATGATTTAATGGGGATAAGAAGATGCGCACGGTTGTTGAATGTCGTTTCTGCGTCGAAGTAGCCGAAACTATGATTTGTTGATAAATTTTCCGCGAGTGCTCTCGAGCAGCCCGGAAAGGATTTACGACGAGTGTCGCTTTCGCGATTGGTTAGCGACGGTAACGAGGGTGCTTTTGACGCGTGCGATCGCGAGAGCGATCCTTTCCGGCGCGACTTGAGCTTTCGTGAAAGCTCGTGCCGGCAAAAGTTGACGGATCGAAGGGAGAAAAATGGGAGACGAAAGAACAAGACAGCGGTATATAAATGGGCGAAGAGCAAGGTGAAGTAACAACTAGACCGCAAAGAGAGAAAGAGAGAGAGAGAGAGAGAGAGAGACAGAGAAAGTAGTCCTTAGTAAGATTTCCGAAAGCCAATTCTTTCATTCGTGTTGCACAACCTCGAATGGGAAAAAAGTACAATCGTCGTACGATGATAATGCGAACAGCTGTTCGAAAGATATTACAAATTAAATAATTGCACGAAGAATTTCTCCAAGTCTCGAGGCGAGAACGAACAAACTAACAAACTTGTAAATCTTTCCACGTTGCACTAATAAGACGTTCACGGGGCGAAGTAGGAGTGTCCTCGTTTAAAAGACGCCGCGTGAAGTTTGGCCGCAAGTAGTTGCAGACGAACGTGGTCAGACCACGTCGGCTATCCGATATACCGCGCGTCACTGTGAAACGGTCTATTTGATAGGGGATGACGTCAGCGAGTTCACTTTTAAGCTCATTAAAGCCAAGAACTATTGGCAATTAAGCAGCTTAATCAATAATTAACACTTTATGAGGAGGGCGAGTTCTACGGAAGTTTTTATTTTTCTTTCGCTTGAATTCCCCGGGAAAGAATTTGAAAAAAAAAGAACGCGCTGAGATATTCTCCAGGTGAATTTTGCGCTTTCTAAATGGAGTATTTCGCGGTGCTATTGACCTCGGCCCTCCTGGAACGAGCAATAATTTTCCAGGACTTTAGCGCTTTAGCCGGTTGTTTTATGTCGAGTCTTCAATTAGCATAACGGGGAATTAACTCTTCCGCGCGGCGAGAGAGAGAGAAGAGAGAGAGCGCATAGCGTTCGCGTTTACAGCAAACCGGACCTCGAGTTATTGTCCCCCTTTAATCCGCGCAGGAATTTGTTTTACGCATAACGATTTATCGCTTTCATTAGAGTAGGCCGCACGACAGCCGGCATGAGGCGCTGTACACCGTCTGCACGTATTTCTTGAAATAGCACACGCTTTTTGCTCTCCTCTTCTCCTCCCATCTAGCAGATATTACGCGTGTTCCGACGACGTTTAATCTGTTATCGCGACACTCGCGCATTCGACTAACAGCCGAACAATTCACTCGACTTCCTCGCTCTTAAAATTGCGATTCGAGTATTTGCACAAAACATGAAAGAAGGGAGAGAAAACGCATATAAGCCTCATAAGCCTGATATCTATGTTGAAGAAGAAACAAGTGGGAATCCATATAGAAAATCCATATGGAATCCCACGGTTGTCCCTGGGGATTTGCGCTAAAAACCAAAGTTCTTCTAGATAGAAATCCATGTGGATTCCTATACGGATTTTTAATATCCTACGTGGATTCACATATGGATTCCATCGAATTTCCGTGGGAATCCATCTGGAAATTTTTAACAGGGATGTTATTGTCAGGATTCAGGCTAACTCAACAAAGCATTTTGTTTCCAACATTATTGTATCGATAATGATTTATGTCACACACACAACCTTGCCTTCGGTACGCTTTTCGTGGCGAAAAAAGCAACGATCAACTTCGCGTTCTATGCAGAACGAAAACTTTTACAACGTTGATCCGCTCGGTGGTGGCGCATATCAACATAATAATATTAAAGGTTCTTAGAGCTTAATGAAAATAAGTAGATTGATTTTACATCGTTGCGGTCGTATAAACACGTGGATTAAATCGTATTTGATATCCGTCATTCGTTCGTTTCAGGAAGCACGTTGATACTTGTAGCTATGTCTTTCGCTTTCACATATCGATCCTGGCATACGCGAGATCTTCACTCTGCTTCCTCGATTCTCCCCGGACTAATTTATCAGACATCGGCCGGTCGTTTCGTCTCGTAAACGCCGGTCTTATGTAACTTTCGATCGTACGATGGGCAGATCGTGCCTGGCCGGTTGTTTCGTCTCTCACGTAATCTCGCCCATTCCCTCGTGTATCCGGTGTGCTCGATACAATCGATCGGTATGGACCTCGGAATCGGCCGCGAAGGAAGCCAATTGCGCGAACGAATACTCGCGACGGTATTAGAAGGCGACGCGCCGCGCCGCGTCGCGTCACGACGCTCACGAGTGGGACAAATCAATTTCTGGCGCACCGTCGTCGACCGACCTGTTTTCCGCACATTGTCGTGTGCGATTCAATCATTTCCGCGCCGATAAGGAAAACGTGCGAAAAGTCGTTTGCGATACAACCGCCTTTCATGTTATTTTAAAAGAGAACTCCGAGAGGAATCTCGGTCGAAGCTTTGTCCAAGATTCCGCCGTTGAGAATAGTGATGACAATTGTTATAGCATCGTTTAATTGTGAAGCGCAATCAATCGGAGGCAATACAACAGGTGAAGCAACGTTTCACTTACGAACGACAGCTTGCAGCCCTTTCGAAGCGTGCTAAGGTCTGAGAATATTGATAGCCAACGGAAATATCGCTCCGCAAGATCGAGATAACTTGATCCGTAGCGCGTTGAAATACCGATAGCTAAAATATTACGCGTTTATCACGGTCATTCAAGCTCTCCGTCGGTTTTACGGGGTTGGCAGGAGGGAGGATCGTAAGCGCCACGTGTGAGGAGCTTACGAGGGTGGCTTCTCAGTTGGCAGGCCCGATTCCTTCTGTAGGTTAGGATGGCGATCAGCATCGGCTTCAGATACACTGGCACCCTCGACTAGATTTTTTAGCGCATCTCCGTCATCCCCTTTTGAAAGTCACGTTTGTTGCGTGTGAAGAGAGTTAATTTAAAAAAGGTAGTTTTTCAACGAATGAGATAAACGATCGATTGAAATTTTGTGTTACTTTAACATGGGAAATGTACTAAAAGTGGGGGATATGTTACACGAATATAATGTTAAATTAACACATTCACTTTGTCAATATATATTATTTATATTCGTGTCATTTTTAATACATATGCCATGTATTAAATGTTTCATGT